AAATAAAATCTATAAAAAATAAGGGATTAAACATGCTAAAACTAGTTTTTAACCAAAACATTAGCCATGATCAGTCAATTAATTTTTTATGTAGTTTTTATTTGTCGTTTATAGATAATATAAAGAAGGATTATTTTAAAATTAATTACTTTTAAGATTATAATAAAATACAAGGATCGCTTTAAAATAATAAATAATAAATAATCTTCATCTGAGTTTATCGGAATGCTCAAGAAGTCATTGGAGAAGAAACAACGTCACGGTTGGAGCTTCCTATGCTCCCCCAGCCCCTTTTTTCCCAGATTTCAAGGCTTTTTAGTGCAGATTTTTAATAATTATTATTATTATTATTATAATAATAATCTGATGCACGGTTGTCGATGCCAATTGCATCATCATCATCAACCTCAATTAATTCCAAGAACAGCAGTCGTACTGCCACATTTCTATGGGAATCTTTTCTTCCCGCCAAAAAACCTTTTCGCGCTTCTTCTCCGCGCCGCTAGTTGCCGCAGGGGCGTTCACCGTCCGATGAGGTCCGCTGCGATGGTTATAATTCCTTACCCGGAAACTGATCTCGTTTAATATTATACTGGCTTTTGTAATTGTGATTTTTAAAAATAAATTTTAAAAAAAAACAGTTAATCAGAGTTTTGAACAATATGGGCTCTGTTTAAACTATTGACAAATGAATTTTTAAATTTTTACTGGCAGGATAAATAAAAAATAAATCATAGTTAATGAAAAACAAATTATTTTAATTTTTATAAAATTAATCAACTGCAGTTACATGTGCATCTCCACACAAAAAACATAAGCTATTTGCTTAATTAAATAATTTTTTAAAAAAAATAGTTTGTCTTTGTGATTTAATGGTGCTTTTCATGTATTTTGATTTTTTTTAAATTATTTTTTTAGTGTTTTTAAATTATGTTAAGGTGATAATATCATAAATAAATTTTAAAAATAAAAATAATATTATTTTGATATATCTTCCAACAAAAAAATAATATGAAAAAAATATTACCATGATACTATACTCTAATTTATTTGAAAATATAGTTATGATTGGTTTTTAAAGTGTTTTTTATTTGAAAATATACTAAAATAATATTTTTTATTTTTTTAAATTTATTTTTAATATCAATGAATTAGAATAACATGAAAATATCAAAAAATATTAAATTAAAATGAAAAAATTAATTTTTTAAAAAATATAAAAACAAATATTTAAAATTCAATCTGTGCATGAATTGACTTGCACAAAACATGATTAAGAGATCCAATTCAAGAGCTGACGAAATCTAAAATTATATTATAAATTGTACGAGTTAGTTAATGGGTTAGCAAATGATTGCACCTGTGGATTTTTCAGAGGACTCACAAACAATATTGTACCAGTAGAAAAGGATCTTGTTCAGAGTAAAATCCAACTTAGACTTGATTGAATTACCATGTATCATTGTATCAAGGATAAAACATAACTACCTAGGTGGTCATAAGGATTTTGAATTAAAGAGTTTATTCTTCTTATGATATCAAGTTCAAATTCTTAATTATTCATATAATGATCACTAAAAGTTTATATGATCGTTAACTTCAGAGTCCGTAAAATTAGTCGTGGTGCACACAAGCTGCCCGAACACCTATGTTAATCTAAAAAAAAATATAAGAATAAAACATGCAGGGTTTTATTATAATCAACCTACGTTAATCTAAAAAAAAATATAAGAATAAAACATGCAGGGTTTTATTATAATCATTTTCATTGTGCATCCTGTAATGAATTATTGTGAATTGAGATATTTAATTTTTACAAAAGTTTTTTTTTTTTTTGCACATCTTAACTTTTTAAAATCTAAATTTGCACCCAGTTGCTCTCTTTTTTTTAAAAAAAAAGTTAAATTAAAAGTTAAATAACCAAAAAATAAGAATGGCTGACAATACAGGTGTTGACTTTGAATTTTATAAAAAAGGCTTACTTTATCCCTTTATATTTTTTTTAAAAGTTTTATAAGTGATTAGTTGCTTCAATTTAAAAACATTGAATTCTTGCATCAAAGTTCATCTCCCTTGTTTTTCATTTATTTTCTACCAAGTATCAATGAGTACTGTTAAGTGAGAATAGTTCTGTAGCGATTATTTTAAATCTTAATTATATTTAAGGCAGGGAAAAGAAATTTTATTCAATT